GGGGATAGCTCGGCTCCCCACTAAATCTGAATAAACCAAGTCCACTTAAATTTACAAAAACCCTGTTACATGTCTCAATAACTAATTGAATTCAAATTTCATGGCAATACTTACTAAGATTCACCTGCACCATGGTCCCCCTTCCAAATACCAGCTTCTGGGCACTTGAAAACCCCACAGTGATCTATTTCACCACAAAAACCAGAGTGAGCCTCATTTTTCAAGCACAGGAATTCACCTAGCTTCTCTCACTTGGTTGAAACCCAGTTCAACACTAAGCACATATTTAGGTAAAGTCAAGAGAAGTCTTCCACTCACACATTCTTCGGAACGGTAGGAAACTTCTGAAACTGTTTGCTGCAAGCTCACAACCTCACACATTTCTCTCCCAACGTGCTCAGGTTTTTGATGACCTCCAGGGATGGTCTGAGTCACCGATTTCTCACGTCCTATTTTCTCATAACGAGAAAGGTTCACCTTATATCCAAATTCAACTCTTGCTCTAACAATGCCAAAGCCCATGAAGCCCTTGCTCACCCTCAGATTTACTCTGAAATGGAATTTTTCATAAAAATCTGACTTTAAAAAAATCATGAATCGTCTGACTGCCCATGCTTTTCAAAGAGATTTCACATATATTATCTCATTGGAGACTTATAAAAATCCTTCACGCTCAGCAGAGCTAGACTCCTAATCTCCATGTCAGAGACGAACAGAGGTTAAGAGAGCTGCCCATGGGCACGTGGTTGGTGAGCAGCTGAGCCAGATTCACACGGTCTTTTGGCTCTGGGTTGAACACCTTGATGACTTATTTGTACGTGTTCATGTATTGATCATATTGCTCTGGCCTTCAAATCTCTCTCCCTTCTTTACTCTCTTCCCTAATGAAAAAGACATACCGTCAACAACGAAAACAATATTCACTGCCCCCGCCCCACCCCGGCCAAAAAAACCTCTCCAAACCAACCTCCAGCTCAACTTTTTCAGAGCAATGTCTTTTTAATCCTCACACGCTTTCTGTGAGCCAGTAGATAAGAGTTATCAATATTTCAGTTGCATTAATTGGGAAAAATGAGGGCCAGAGGAGATAAATCAGGATGCTGGTTATAGAGGCTGCAGCCTGTGCAGACAGCAATATATTGAACCTTAGAACACGTGGGACCTGGCCCTGCTATTGTGACCACGTTCAAATCACTTAACAACTCTGAATAGAGAGAATCACTGCTTCCCATCTTCCCCAGCCTCATAGGACAATCGGATAAAAGATGTGAAGAAATAAGGAGGGTGCCTTAATTGTCTTCCTTTTCCTAAGTAGAAAAACCTTAGAAAATATCAAGGTGGTAGTATCATTTACCCCCACCGAATTTGTGCATTCCTGTGTGCCTACGCATCAGAAACAACACTAAACATTTTTCAGGCAAGTTTGAGACTGATTAATTTGGGCCCACACAGCACACTCAATTTAAGACTGATGACCAGGTGCCTGCTCCAGTGTTGGAAACAGAATTGTGGCCCAAGAGCTGGTACTCACTCGGCTTGACTGACACCCTGGTTCCTCCTCCAAAGGTTAGCTTGTTTCCTGCAGTGTTGGTCACACAATGATTTGAGGCCCAACAAAAACCACGGGGACCAAGGAAATGACACTCTGGAGATGCCTCACGAAGGCCGTTTCCTATGGCCGTGGTGGCAAAGTGGAGGGGTGGTGCTGTTTAGGGTAACCCTGTCCCCTAGCGCTGTGCCCACTTTGCAGAGCGGGAGTGCTTGTCAGTGGGCACCCACCTGGGTCTCACCCTTTCAAATATTTATTTACTTCTAAGCTTTGGCTATTTGGACCTGGATCTGTGAGTGAGATTGATAATAGCAAACAAGACCTCACTCGGGGGCCCTTTTGACCACTTTTAACCCACAAAGGCACCGGAGAACAGGAAGACTTTAAGCTCTGGGAACCTTCAGGGTCAGGCTGTTCATACAACCAGACTGGAAATGCTGGCGAACACAGCCATATGCAGGCAGGCACCCTGTCAGGGTCTCCATATTCAATTTAGTGCCCAGGGCAGACCCCACAGAGAGGAAGGTACTTTAGTCCTGGGTCCGCCTGGGCCATCTGAGCTGCTGCGCTTTCCTCGGTCCAGGTTTCAGACCCAGCCATTCTACAGCCCATTCCTTGGTGGGGAGGAGGCTTCTTGGGGAAAGTTTACAGAATACGATGGAGAGGTCATTCGTATTTAGAAAGGAGCTGACGGAGCCTCTGACAGGGAGAGGACCAAGAATCGCAGGGCTCCAGAAGAATAAAGCTTGTAACCTTGTCCCTCAGTCTGGCATGCCCAGTCTGGGTCGAGGGTCCATATCCTTCCCCCGGCGTTGGATGTGGACCAGAGCCGATGTTTCCAGATGCTCCCCACATGCTAGTGGAGCTGCCCTTCTGCTCTGCCTTGGGTGGGGATGAACACAGGCTCCTCTCAGATTCTCAGGTTCCTAAAAGGGACCCTACGTCATCTTGACCTTCCTTCCGCTCCCGCATCCTAGTCTACCTAGGAAGGATGGGGGTGGGGTGGGGGTCCTCCAGAAGCGGCCATACACATATTCCCTTAGTTTCAAGACAAAGGAAATTCATTCATCTCCCTTTTCAATTTTTTCATAGTAATGTTTTCCTGGAGTAGAAAAAACCCACTCACCAGGCCATACGGTTAACTGAGTTCCTCTTCCAAAGTACAGCTTCCCCAGACTTGAGCCTCTGTCAACACAGTGCTGGGCCCCTTTGCATGAACCTGGTGCTGATGTTCCCTGTCACTCTCTCCCCCGCCCTCGGGGACAGAGCTGAAAATTCATCTCCATCCTCTTCAAGTGGCTGTAAGTCTTTTTCTTGGGCCGCTGACAGTCTGAGCTGGACAGTCAGATCTCAGAGGCTGTCTCTCTCAGGGGACAAATGGTCTGTGCTAACAACAGTCTTCCCACCCGCAGAGGCCCCCTCCCATCAGAAAGCAATTACACGTCCTTTTGAGAGCATTTAAATGGAAAGGAACTTTGCTTCCCTGGTCCGATTTCCCAGCATAAAAGGCTGCTCACTTACTTGGATTGTCATTACTCGGATCCCTTTCCAAAGCTGAACTTGTGAAAATTCTGATAGACTAGATCTGCCCTCTGCAAATTCACCCCATCTCCCTCATTCAACCTCTGGTCCTCCCTCCAGGCATTCTTTTTTTCTCTTCTTTCTTTTATTTTTTTTCCCCTTCCTGATATGGCTCTTTATTTTCCCATTTACAGCTCTGGGAAATCATACCCCACCATCTTCTAGGTATAAAAATCCCAAATAGGCTTTAGCTCATGAATAATTCGATGGCATATTTCTTTGGCTATCAAAATAATAAAAAGAGAAGAAAGAGCTCCGAGTTCACCTTTTCATCCTCTAGGCTGGAGTCATGAGATCTTAGCACTTAGAGTTGAAAGGGAGCCCAGAGATGATTCAGTCTAACATCTAAAATGGCATAGAAATCCTTTCCACAGCATCGGATAGTTGGCTGGAAGGACCCAGCGTGAGGAAGAGTCTGACACTTCACAGAGCAGCCTTTCCACTGCAGGCTGGTTCTACTTGTTCAAAAAGATTCCAGAGGAGGCTGAGACACATCTCCTTTCATCCACTGGTTTTGATTTTGCCTTCTCTACCGACCCCTTCCCTCTCTAGATGACAGTTCTTCAAATATTAGAAAAGAGTTATTACCCCATCTTAATACAGCTCAGTGACATCCTCTCTTACTTTTTTCTTTTTAGGGACCTCAGATGATTTCAGATAGCTCGCTTGGTTTTTATCTGACCATGAAGCCCGTGCTCTCAGCGAGAGCATCTTTGCAAAAGCATGCCTGAGGAGGAGAGCCATCGGGGGTGGAGGAGGAGGCGAGAGATGCAAATGAGGTGGACAGGTTAGGGTCCTAATGCAAACTGGGAGAGCTTTTTGGAATTTAGTTACTGACCTTTGTGCTTCCCAGGCGGAAATGCATGCAATTGTACCCATCATTTTGTTTTAAACTGATTCTGACTTTTCCCTTATTACTTACTTGCTCTTACAGTTACCGTGGTTCCTGCTCCAAAGGTGAGCTTGTAGTCATTAGAGCCACAGTGCTACGTCTTCCTACACAAACGCCGTCAAGACTGCAGAGGAGGGAGTGGGCTGGGGGACAGGCGGGCCGCTGGAGGTCTAGCTCTGCCCCGCTGTGCTCGGAGCCCTTTGGTCACTATTTCAACCTCTTGCTCTGTTTTTTGCTTTCACTTAGTCTCCTCATCTGTGACAGTGGGGATGATAATATCTATCCTGGAGGATCATTAGGGAGAGTAAATGAATTAAAGTATGAGGCATTTACACAGTACTTTGCACATAGCAAGTGTTCAGTAAATGCTAGTTATTAGATTGTTATTAAGATGCTTTTCATCTTTAAAAATACATATAATTTTAATTTGTCACAGCTCCTTTCTGAAATCTTGGACATTCATATAGATCCTTTAAATGCTATCCAAAGGCTTTTGTTTTTTCTTGTCAATTAGTAAAAGCAGCAATAGTTGAAATCTGGGAATTTTCCTTATACGGGGTACCATCTTAAGTGTACGGTTGGCAGCTTCAGAATGTTTACTCAATCATAGGGTTTGTTTGCTACAATTTACACCTGTTTAAGAGACCCATGAACAAGGAATGGTAAGTTGTTATGAGTGGGGACCCAAGACACAAAATAAAAGAACTGAAAATAAATACAGACTGGTAAGAGGAATTTAGGATAATATATTGGTGGCTTTTTTTGCAGACAGTTGTCACTTACTTGGCTTTACACTGACTTTGGTCCCAGAGCCGAAGTACAGTCTGTTGGTGGTGTACACCGTGTTTACTAGCATTACAAAAAGCCTCCTGGGACTTCCCAAAAGGGAGATGTGATTTCCAGAGATGACTAAGCAAGTCAGGCCAAGACTAACTCAACCTCACCAGTCTTTTTTTTTTTTTTTTTCTATTTTCCTAGAAAATTCGAGAACCAAAGTGAGGAATGAGGCAAGAAGACACATTCATTATCAGGGACAGGTGAGCTGAGGGCATCTGATTTTCTTCAGTGGTTTTATCGATTTCTCTTCCTTAGTTTTCTGCTTGGGTTCGTTCATTCCTGTGCCTTCCCTGCTCCCTATGCACAATATTTGAAACAAGGACATTGCAAATGAATGCTCGTTACCTTTCTCTTTTCCTAATTATAAATGAACATTTTCTTCAGGTGGACTGGATTGTGAGGAAAATCCTTATTCTGCCTTGAGTTCCAGGGCTATCTGGGAGCTTCTCTCCCTGAGTTGGACCGGGGTCAGCGTCATGCTTGACAACCTGACCTGAGCTTCCTTTTAAGGACACCTTGAAACACACCAGCGAGCTACCTATATTCTGCACGTGTGATGGAGCAAGATCGCTGTGTCCTATCTGTCAAGGACCTACATTATATAACCAAATGTAATTTAACAGCCCCAGCCCAGCCCCCACCATGAAACTGTACATTTTGGCTCCCCCTAAACCCACTCTCTGTCTGCATATTCCCTTTAGCAAGGGAGAGAGAGAGAAAAAAGAGGCCGCAGTGTTAGCTGTCATTTGCTAGTCTAGATGAAACATTATTTATGGGCAAAATATTTTGCTGACGCTTTCAAGAGAAAGGAGATCTCAGTGCCAACAGCTAGACGCCCACACAGTTTGGATTTAAACAAATCTCCACAAATGAGCACAGTTATGAGAAATAAAATAGAGGTGACTTCAGTCTAAGGCAAGTAATTATAATACTTATGCAGTTTGGGAGGGCAAGGGGCTGACTTGTTCTTACTTGTAGAAATGATAAGCAGGGTGTTACAGGAAGGCTCTGCTGGAAGGGCACCAGAGAGCTATAGGAACAGAGCTTCATTTAAATATCTCAGATGGGCACCTTTTGTGTTTAGTGACTTCCGGAGAAATCAGCCAGGACAGGCTAGCAATGTAACTGGCAAGCTAGCCTTTGGTTTGGGATAGTTCCTGGTAAAACCCTCTTGGAGCATTTCACCTGGTTCTAGTGAACGTATTATGACAAACAGACGTTCCCTTTATGGACTCTGTTCCTACTCTTTTAGGTTAAGAAAGCTTCTCAACTCATTTTCATCAACTCCTATTCCAAACTTAGCAAAAAGGCTTCTCTTTCTCTTTGGCCTTTGATAAATACTTCTCTTCTTACTTTACCCTTTTAGGTATGTGTTGTTGGTGTCTCTCCCCCCACCCCCCACCCTCAGGCCCATTAAGTTACCTAAATGTACAGGATAAATATTTATAGATCACTGAATCCATGCAAATAGTAGTTAATTGTGGTGGCCTACCAGGTATAACCGTCAGTTGGGTCCCAGATCCAAAGGTCAGTTGCCAGCCGGAATTGGAAGAAACACTGTGATGTGCCCAACAGCAAAAACCAGAGGGAAGAGGCCAGCTTTGGCAGAGCACAGAGTACAGAGTTGGCGATTACTTTGTGAATCAGGCCTGTATCATTGCCGGTTTAGGTTTGATCTGGAGTAAACAAACTGCCTATCTACAAATCACAAATAAAGCCTTCTTTTTCTTTACAGTCCCACGTTCTTTTAGGAAATCGTGCCTTCTACTCTCTGCTCAGAATTCTAAGCATCAAACATATGCTTTTAACACATAGAGAGGGCAAGCACTCTCTGATTTTAGAGACCAAATCAATGTTCACATATTTTCATCTAAGAAGACTCACAAGGTCCAGGACAGAGAATATTTTTTTCCACCACTGCGGGCATCACTAGGTCACACCACCAGGAAACTGCCCAAATCCTTGAGTCATCTCTAGACCGAGTCCACTGGATCTAAATGAGGTATGGAGTAGATGTTAGTTATCCAGTTAATTTGGCCACTAGGTTGACATCAATACTATAATTTTAGAATGATCAAATTATCAGTGAACTTTCTAGTTTCCCACTTCACTTTTGGGCTATTTCCTTTCTTATGACTAAAGTGGTACCTATGTTGATTTAGCTGCTAAAAGACTTTAAAACGGCAACAAAGATCAATTTTAATATTTCCTAAGGTAGTGAGGATGGTATAAAAGCCCAAGAGGGAACAGGATATGGATGGTCATATGGGAGGGGACAATCTACCTTTGGAATGTAAGTTCCCCGAGGATAGCATCACACTGAGTCTCTCCCTGATGGGTCCCTGGTCTGAGCGCTGAGCCTGGAATAAATTGGCTGCACAAAAATATTGATCAGATGTGTCTTGCAGATTCCTCAGACCTCAGGCCAGGAGAATTCATGACCAGGAGTTAAATTCTAGTCCTCACTCAGCCATAGGCTGGTTGTGGGTCCATGATTAGTCTCTTCCCTGGGCCTCAGTTTCCTTCCAAGTAGACAGCCAGAAAAAGAGGATTTTAAGGATTCTCTCTGCTCCATGAGGCTATGCTGTACAAATTTTTGGTGTAAAGTCTCAGAAGCAGGGTGTTCGAATAGTCCTTATGAATACACTTTTTTTAAAAAAGTGATTTTTGACTTTGGAAGAGTCTAATCACAGTTATTCTGGTCAATGATCATAATTTACAAGATTCCTTCTATAAATTGACATAATTGAAGCCAAAAAGAATAGTGCCTTAGAGGCTTGTTAAGGAATTAGAAGTCTTGTCGCTGATTCCTGTACAAATCCAGGGCTACAGATCCTAGCCAATATCCCAAGTAATCAGTCCCACATCTTTGGTGCCGCCGCATATATTGTGGCAGCGATTCCCAGAGATTCCCCTACGTGGCCCATTTTGCACCAAGACATCAGAGCCTAGCCAGGGAGATTTTTGTCCTCCTTCTGTTTGATGCCCACTCACCCTTCCTAAACATTCTTTCTATAGTGTATAATTGGGTCTAAATCAGCCCTTCATCCACAGACATTGCTTAATCCAGGGATACACATTTATACTTACTGGGCTTCACAGATAACTCGGTTCCCTGTCCGAAGATAAGCTTTCCTCCCTGGTTATAATTCACACAGTGCTACACAGCCTGTCAAAAACACATCCAATCTTTCTGAACACATTTCTAATCCTCCACTCCCCAGTCCACGGCGGATCTCTCCCACATCCCAGCATGAATATGGCTATCCATCTTACTGTAACTTTTTTCCTCATAAGAGGAATAAGGTACCTACACCGGGGGCTGATAGGGAATAATGAAAATTCCTATTTATCCCAAAATATTTCTGTTTGACACCAAACTGAACTCTCATTCTCACTTCACAGTTTCCCCGAACAGCTCTGGGTATTGCTGTTCGGGGAAATGGCTTCCTTTCAAATATGTTTCTCATGATCTCAGTGAGAAATACTTGGCACCTGGGTTAAAATTAAGGGCAGGTGAGGCTCCAGGGAATTGGGCTTACCTGGGGTGACCACAACCCGGGTCCCTGCTCCAAAATTCAATTTCCCCCAGCCGTCAGTTGTCACACTGTGACAAACACCTCTACAAAATAGCTTCCCCCGAGAAGACAGCGGCTAAATGAAGACAAACTGCTCGTGGGGAAACAATCTTGCTACAGAATGAGGTAAATGCATGATCTGAGATACAAGTGTTTTCCCCCTTTCCTCGTCTAATTTCTCTTCTTTCAAGACACCAAGGATGAAGTATGCCAAGAGCTGTCCTTCCTGGGCTGCAGGGCCGGACACGGCACCGCTGGGGTTAACGAAGACTGGGCTTGGCAGAGACCGGACTCTGCAGGGACAAAGCCCACCATGGCTAGGAGTTTACCTGATGCCCAACCCAGTCCTCAGCTCCTCAGTTATGAAATGGGCATAACTCTAGTGGACTCTCTGGCTGAAGAAGACTTGCCATCTGAAGGTTTAACTGATTGGGAGTTTGAGAGCATGGACAGACCCCAAGGCCTGGTTATCAATGGGATCCTGGTGGGTTTCTTCCCCTCTACACCTCCCAGAGCTCCCTCGAGGACCAGGAAGATGACCAAGCACTGGGCCTCTGTCTGCTCAACCCCTTCTGGCCCAAGGAGGCCCCACGGAAACGGGAGCAGGTCCTCCTCCTCTTGGAGATTGTCATACTCAGTGCACAATTCAAATGGCATGCTACTTACTCGGCTTAACAAGCAGCCTCGTCCCCTTCCCAAAGGTGAGGGAGAAGCCTTGTCCTCCCACACAGTGATTGTCTCAGCATCAAAAACCTGTCAGCTCAGCTTCTCCCACACAAAGCCCTCCTGAGAAGGGAAACCTCCAATGCACTTCCTCCAGTATTATTCACACGGGCCTGTGATTTTCCTCCCCGAAAAAGCATCCCTCCCACTCCTTATTGTCCTCTTCCTCCGGCCTCTGAGGTCACAGTGGGCCCAGGCCTCAGGCAGGAGCTGATTCTGCTCCCACATCTCTGTACTTACAGGGCAGCACCGACAATCTGGTTCCCCCACCGAAGGTCAGACCCTGGGCATAGTTATTCCCACAGTGCCTCCGGGCTCTACAAAAACCCTGAGAGCTCCCCTGCTCCTCACCCCACATGCCACACATCTCAACACCATCACCAACCTAGGGTCCCAGACCCTGTGTATTTGGCTTTAGGATGCAAAAACCAGCCTGCCTGCCCTGACCAGTCCTGAGATCCTGAGAACAAAGGGAGTTTGGGATGCGACAAGCAAGGGTTCCAAAACGTAACCCAGCAACCCCGGTGTCCCCCGAAGGATGCAGCTCTGCGTGAATGAGCCAGAGTTTTTTCACAGAGCGGCTCCGAGATGGGAAGAGGCTTAGAGGTTTCCCTCATTGCTCCTCCTGCCTCGAGGCAGGGCTGCACTTCAGTCAGCCCTGAGAGGAGGGTGTCTGTCTGCTTTCAAAAACCTCCAGAGAAAGTGCTCTGGCAAACTGCTCCTGACAGCTCATTTTCACCGTTCACAAACCCATTAGGAAGGTTTTAGCACTAACCTAACTCCCTTCCTCTTGCAGTATTAGCCACGTCCTGTGGTCGGAGTCCTGGTGCAGCTGCAGGACACAGCGTCTCCAGCTTTTGTTGAATGCATCCTTCCCCAGATTGAGATCCGTGGCTCAAGCCTCACATTTCTGCAGGGTTCACTGGCCCCGTTTGCCTCTAGACACTAACCTCCATCTCTGGGTCTGAGAGTTTCATTCTGGGGCTCTTTTCAGGCACCCTATTTCTCACGAGGAGCATAAACAGTCTGGGGACAAGCAGCCCTTCCCCGTGACACTTCCATTCTCTCCCTGACCCTGTCCCTTCACA